TGTAATTTAAGATCGTTTAAAAATGCTTTAAGATTCAAAACCAATAAATCCCTAGTTTCTACAGGTAGTTCCTCCCAAGCGCGTGGAAACAAATGAAACACAGAATATTTCAGAGAATTTGTTCGAGCATATTGATGTACATATTTAAGATGATCACCGTGTCTAGAGTTGATTGTTATGTAATTAAAAATATTAAAATCATAAAAGCCATGAAGACATTTCGCAATAAAAGAAATAGTAAGAAGCTTAAAACGTTTTTCAACTGAAATTAGACCACTAATGTCAAGACGTTGTGCATATGTAAGTTTCCTTCCTTGTTTTGGAACACAGGCTCGAGTCCTCCTGCGTTGGCTTGTTCTAAAGAGTTTAGATGCCCCTTCTGATGCGGCAGCCATGCGGGGATGGCGTACTCTATAATTGGACGAACTATTGCACAAAATAATTTCGGAATTAAAATTTCGTCTCTACAGCGCACGATTCGTTTAATGAACCCCAGCAATTTAGAAGCCTTAGATCTCGTCTGCGAAACATGCAACCCCCAGTCCAATTTTGAAGTAAAAGTTATTCCTATGTATTTATAAGAGCTAACCTGAGTCAGAGAGTTTAAACCAAAGATGTGTATAAGAGACAGCACCTATATATTTTGTAGCCTTGATGACCTAGTTATGCGCATCGACTTGCACTTTAATGAGTTAAGGAGCATCTTGTTAGTTATGCTCCAATTAAGAATAATATTCAAATCATTTTGGAGCGACTGCTGGTCAGCAAGAGACCTAATGGCTCTATATAAAATTGTATCGTCCGCATATTGTAGAACGTGTGAAGAAATATCAGACGGCAAGTCAAGTACAAAAATATTAAACAGAATGGGGCCAAGAAATCAATCGATTCTGGACTGTGGATGTTGGCATGATTTGAGGTGTGGAGTGGAATCACATTCTCCTTTAAGTCAATATCAAAATGAGGATATTTATCTTGGACAGATGAGAGCTCTCTGGACAGACAGATATATTTCTAACTTTCATCTTCTTACTTTTTTCTATAGCCTAGTCCTATTGCTTTTCCGACAATTTGCACCTAACAACACATTCCCATCTGAATTTTCAAGAAAACCTGCAATGATCATGCAATCCTGCTAATCTCAATCGGCATGGCCAACAAGTAACCACCACCACTAATTTCATCTGCTATTCTGCTTTTATGTAATAATGTACTCACAACATTCTTGTCATGACAAGCCATGCTCTCTGGACGATTGTCTTTTCCGCCGCACCACCATTTGTAATTTGCGGTTTCCTGATGTCCTTATATAATCATTTTTCATTCAAAACGTGCCTCTTGAATTTAATAAGTTGTCATAATAACCCCTCGATTTTCATCTATTTCCATAAGCCCCCCCCCCCTCAATTTCCAATCTGTTTGGATAAGCGCCCCGTTCGAATAAGCGCCCCGTTTGAATAAGCGCCCCTCAAAAAGTGCTAAAAATATTTTAAGCGCCCGGGCGCTTATTCGCTCGAGTACCGTACGGTATATGATGATGTCAAAGCAAAATTATTCGTTATTTGTCTAATAAAACAATCTAATAAAAATGGAAAGCAACAAAGTATTAACAGTGACAAATGCAACATGGAACCAAGAACAAACATTCAAACGATCGAAAGTGAGCAGTTAGAATACATATAAAAAAAAAAAAGATTTCTTGAAGCAGATAATTATAATGATGATAGGCTGAGCTTGAGAGGATCATGAAAAGTGTTGAAAAGACGATCAGTGAGATTTGAAATCAGATTTGGAAAAATGATTATTTAACACCTAAATTGACTTGAAATAAGGTTGATGAACCATAAACTTCTAGGGTGGGTTACTATAGAGGGGTTACTAATAAAGAAATTGGTTATTATTAGAAGTTTTATGGTAATTAGAGACATTAGGCCTACAATACATGGTTTTAAAAAATATACAGTAAGCTAAAATTGACTAAAATACAAAGATCTTAAAAATACGCTTCTAATCTGTTACACGTAAACCGCTGAGCTGGATCGGCGGCCTATCCAGTTTTTGAGATCTTTGTTAAAATACGGTATTAATCTTGTATTATTAATTTTGTAAACATTCCTACTAAGAGAGCTTGGAAAAAAAGGATCAGAAATTAAACTTGTTCAATATTTATAGTAGATTAAGATCGGTATTGCTGACCATTATGTAATATTTTATTATGTAGTTTTTTATGTTTTTTTTTTCAAATTAATTTAATTGTTATTAGGTTGAAGACAGGCGAAAGTTCTTCTTTCTTGGTTTCAAAGTGCTCTCTACATTTTCTTTTCAGTGACTTTTAATTGTTTTTAGTTAAGAGTTCATGTGTGTGTATATGTATATTTTATATGCATATTTTTCATTTTTATATATTTATTTAGCAAAGTTTGTAGGCATACCTTTTTATTTACGAACGCACCGATTGTCAGTGTGCCACCGATCTAAAAGAGAAGTTCAAAATAATGAATAAGTATAGAGGGCGTTCTGCTACAATATATAGCGCGCCCTCACCGATATATATTATAGCGTCGGCCATTGGGCATCGTCATCTTTTTCTTATTTCGGTGAGTTGTAGAATGTAGATTTATAATCGTAATTTAACCTTAAAATAGAGTATTAGTTATATTCATTTCATTGAAATGTATATCAGTAATGTTTAGTTTTGTTGGATTTGTGCCATTTTGTAATTAATCGTGAGCAATAGTGAATATTTACAGGTTTTTACTATTACGTTTAGGCTTGCAGTTCCTGTTCGCATCATAGTTATCGAGCCTCCAGTTTAGTTTAGTTTAGTTTTTATTTGGAATCACTTTCATTACAGTGGCACACATCCAAAATGGTGGTGCATCCAAAAAAGAGAAGGTAACAGTAAATTTAAGAAAAAACTTAATTAAAGAAAAGTAAAAAAGTCAAACAACTTGACTAAAACTTAATCTAAGTACTATGC